AAATTATTTTCAAATCTGCGTCTAACTAAACTTTTATATATTTCAGTAAAACTTATTCTCTCCGTGCATTTAAATTCATTTCCTCAATCATAACACCGATATCTAAATGTAAGATGCGTTTAATATATAGAATCTATTTTTAGAGATGAAAACATCCCATGACGCAAATCATGCATCAAAAGAATACATCATATTTAATATTAAACGCGGAAAGAATAGTTTTGCTGAAGTATCTATCTAAAAGTTTAGCTAGATACAGATCTGAAAATAATTTTATTGAACCAATCAACATAATTATGTAGAACGCTCAAGCTAGTTAGTGAAATATTAGTGGAATGTTAAAAACTTTTATCAGCATTGTTCATCATGCTTAAGATACCAACATTTATTATTTCAATGATCCAACCAAATTATTTTCAAATCTACATCTAACTAAATTTTTGGGCAAATAATACTTGAGCAAAATCGATCCCCTTATTAATACGCGTATCTCGTAATAATATCCACTCTCGCAATAATTTCAAATTTGGTGAAAATTTCACGTGAGTCGCCACTGACACCCCTTCGCTCGAGGGATCGGCGTCGCGAGGAGGAAAAAAAAAAAAAGAACCGACGTCCATCGAGCGAACGGACTCCGCAAATTCCCGGCCACCGCACCGAGCCACGTCAGGGCGCAGAATCCGGTGTGACGGACGCCGCCGATTGCGGACGGTCTCGCCGTCGGAACTCTGGGCGGAGTTCCGGCGGCGAGACGGTAGATGCGCGCCGCCCAGGCGTGTACGCCCCTGATGGTCTTCGACGCGCCTTCGTTGGCGCACTCCTCTCCTCGTGGCCGCCGAGCTCGCTCACGCACTCGCGTGACAATGCGTCTCGAAGGAAACGTACAGCTCCAGATATACCAGAGTAGCGCTACCCTTTGATCTGAGCCGAATGCCGACAACTTTCGTATCACTGCAGATCCGAGTGTGTATAATAAGTGACTTCAATATACCTATGTGTGCGATTAATTTTCCGTATAAAAATAACGCCCTGCGTGCAAATATGGATTTACACATTTAAATATGTCATTTTTACATGGAAAATTAAAAAATATATACATATACCGAAGTCATTTTTACACATTTGGATTTTCAGTGTATTGACAGACAATTTTGATGGTCTTTTTTACCTGATGGTCTATCGTTCGATAAGTAAGTAATAAATAATAAGCAAGCTTAGTAAATAAGTCAACGGATAAGTATATAAGCTTATTAAAGTTTGCTTTTCTATTTCTGCACTAGACTGTATTAGGACTCTCTTTCTCGCTTTTGTCAAATATCAAACATGTATCTATCTCACTTTAAGTTTCAAAAGTGTACACTAGTTGAGTCACAGAAAAAAGAGCTTAATTCTTTAATATAATGTGGTTATTATTAGGTGTTGGAATTAATTCGTAGCGTTTTTTAAGTGATGGGAAGTACTTTCATTAATGTATTTTTTAATGCTCATGTGAAATAAATAACATTCTTTCATTAAAAAACGCTACGAATTAATTCCAACACCTAATAGATTAAACATAGTGGATCTCTCTCTCTCTCTCTCTCTCTCTCTCTCTCTTTGCTACTCTGATACATCTAGAGTTCTGAGAAAACGTCTGTGGCATCTGTGATACCCGATTTTGATTTTTGAAACGCGACTCTCATCTGTGTCGTAGAGATCGCAGGCTCTCTAATTTTTTCGTATCTACCGTCGACAGCACGTTCGACCCACTGCTGGCTATGAATTATAATTATACCATACTCTGGTTAAGTGGATTAATTTAACCGCGAGCTAACCTCTGGTGCTTCGATAATTTTTTTTTAAATATAACTCCCACGCTGTGCTGCTAGATTAACGATATGGATGATATATCGAATTGCTCTTTTTGGCAGACGTTAAATATTTATATTATATAGAAAATTTATACAGAACATATTTATATCGACGATATTTATTTAAATACGATAAATTGATCGTTTTAATTATATTTTGACATTTAATTATATGTCTCGGTAATGTATGTAATATTATGGAAAGCTATAAATATTTTCAAAGATAATTTCCAACATATAAAACAAATTTCTCTTTATAGATTTGTTACATGTTATAATACATTCGCGACCGTACTGTAATATCGCACGCATTTACTACTATTCTTTTATGTAAATGATATATTAAATTTTTGTAAGAAGATATTAACGAATTTATATTTGTAAACAATAAGAGATGAACTATAAACGCAACTAAAAATTGTACATAAATTTAATTTCAACTTTGATGAAAATAATTTATGTATGAAAATAAAATAAAATGAAAAACTTATGGAATATTTATTAATATTAAATTACAAAAAAAAATCTAAGCGAAATAGTTAATTTAAATAATATTTTGATATTTCGTGATCAAAAATATGTAAATTAAACTATGAAATTCTTTCTTAAATAATTATTATAATAAAACAGAAAATAATTATATATATATATATATATACACACACACACACATACACAAAATATTTCTACACTGAATATTAATGCAATAGAATTTTAAACTTTAAACTAATAATTATTATACAGATCTTACAAAAGAGAGAAATTGATGAAACAAACACAATAAAAGTGACACAAATAAATATGTAGATAAAAATTTGTCGTCTGTCAACAAAAGACATACTATTTACTATTTTGGAAAATCGTTAGCGAATGTGTTAATTAAAATAATGATATTTATGTACGCAATTGTCTAACATTAAAAAAATTTTAATCCTAAAATATAAAAAAATCACACTTGATGTTTCTTCCTGTTATAAAAAAACGGAAAATGATTTAAATTTTTGATTAATTCTTAAATTCCGCATGAAAAAAAAATTTTTTTGATAAAATGCGCATTATAAATTATTTACTTTTTGAATTTTTTTCTATATATTATTCTATAAAATCTGTCTTTTGAAATTACTATTGTATCTATAGATAAGATTTATTTAACAGTGTAATGAATTAATAGATCTTATATGAAAAGTACTTAAATTGTAATACTAATCTATTTCTTAAATTAGATAAGTCCTCAGGAGAATTCGTTGGTGATTATCTGTCTTCGATAACATATTCGTATGTACTAATTTTCTAGATGCGACATCGTATGTTCAGAAACGTATGCGAAAAAAAAACGGGCGACAAAAAAATAGATGCTTCGCCGGTCATCGAATTTTGTTGGAACATGAATTTCTCGCTTCTTTTTATTTATACTAAAGAAAAAAAACGCAACATGAATTTTTTATTATTCATTTATATCCCATTTTTAGTATTCTTTTCTATCAAGTTTTAGTATTCTTTTATTTCAAGTTATATTAATTACTTTGCGTGTTTTTCATGCTTTCTTCTACATAAAAAAAAATGAACTATAATATATTAATTTAAAAAAAAAAAGAAATTTTTTTCATTTAATTGACAATGTAAATGGGTGCTTAAATATCATGTTACCTCTCTGATACGATTCTATTACGTAAACTTTATCCGCGAAATCGCTGACAACGCGTGATCGCGAAAGCAATGACAGAGCAGGCAGATCGAAGTATTGATTTCATTTTCATTTGTTGCCTCGCCGGTCATCGATCGCTATTCCGCGACTAATACGTATCTAACGATCGAGTGGTCGATGATAAGATCGATTGACATTCAGTTATGTTTTAATTCAAGTTCGCGTATCACTGAAATACATTTTATTTATCACGAGGCGGATTGCCCTTTGTGCTTTCACCGCAACCATATCGCCTCGAGATAACAAGAAATTATTATTTCACGTTATTATTAAATTCTCTCTGAGGGAACATATCAAATTCAAGATTATATCGGCCATGACTTTCAGCAAAGAGATCTTTAAGAATTTTAAAAACTCAAAACATGTTTGCACATTGTTAAATATCAAAGGAACAATGGTAACCCAATCCTTTGAATTAAATAATATTTTTTAATTTTTCATCTCTATGTGTCAAAATGTAAATCAATCCATTTCTATGATTAGTTTCAAAGTGAACAGCGTTCGTATGAATGTATGCTCTTAATAAATAATAAAAAAAATATATTGAATTTGATTCAAATTTAAAGCTTCTCTGTAACTTTTAATTCCAGTCACAGTCCCTTTTGAGACAAATTCAATATATATATATTATCCTGAGATAAATTATTTAACTCGATTGTTTTAGTTAAATTAGTGACCTATTGAAAAGGAGCAGTAGATTTATAGAAATGATTCAAAATAACTCAAATTGAGTATAATTTGACATTATGAACTTAACAGTGCAAAACTGATGATTTTGAACCGTATTACATTCAGTAATAATGAAAGATTGATTCAGCATAACGATCACATGTAACTTTTTCCAGTAAGAAAAATGGCGAAAACATGAAAAGTTTTGAGAAGTTTTATCATTGAAGGTAATGGAGAAATTTTTCATGGTTCCATTTTTCTAAGGAAAAAGTTACATCGTAATCTGATCGTTAACCTGATTGTATTGTTAAATTTATAATATCAAATTATATTCAATTTGAATATACATAATTATTTTATCATTTCTATAGGCCGCTATTGCTCCTATTCAATATCATTAATTTAACTAAAACAACTGGAGTTAAACAATTTAACTAAAAAAAATGTGTTAAATTTGACTCAAATTTAGTTTATTATTAGGTCATTTAAAAAATATCCGCAGTTTTTTGTTCAATTTTTGAATGAAAAAACCGCGGATACTAAGTATATACTAAGTATATACATTAATATGGACGTTGTTTATTTTGAAACTAACCACAGAAATGGATTGATTTATACTTTGACATACGTAGAAGTTAAAAATAACAAATTCCAGAGACTGGATTGCCATTGCTCCTTTGATATCTAACAAAAATTAAGATTTTTTTGGATGAAGAATGACAACAGGTTTCTCTCTCTTATCCTCTCTCAAAGTAAACCGATTTTTTATGTTTCAGAAGGCAGCAGCTCGCTCTGCGTTGGCTGCGGTGGTCGAATTCACGACCAGTGGATTCTGAGGGTAGCACCTAATCTGGAATGGCATGCAGCGTGTTTAAAGTGTGCCGAGTGTCAACAGTTTCTGGACGAGAAATGCACCTGTTTCGTGCGGGACGGCAAAACTTACTGCAAGCGCGATTACGTTAGGTAAGTCACGTCGACGCTTTCTTTGAAAGAACTTCACGTTAGAAAGTCGGACAGGGAAACTTCTTTTGAGAGGTTGTTCAATCCTATAGCCACACGAAAAAAAAAAGTAAAGGGGGAAAAAAAGAAAGGATCTTCGCCAACGGATTCACAAACCGAAATGAATGTTCGATTTTCCAACATAGTTATTTAGGAGCATCTTTAAAGGAACAAAAAAAATGTTAGTTAACCGAAGGAACACGCAAAAGTCAACAAAAACTCCAAATGAATTTATTCTTAACGTCAATAAATAATCAAATTTTGTAACAAAAAGTCATCGTTTTGACTGCCGTGATGTCAAAATAAAGTCATTTTGAGTTTTCCTTGACTTGGTGCATTCCTTGGGGCAATTTATGCTCGGCACTTCATCTTCCGGTCGTTTGACACCACGCAATTAACTCTTCACGATTACGAGAGCGACGAAATTGCGCGATGACGTGATACGTACGTCAAGCGGAAGCCGTCTCATCGTCCAATGGTTAAGTGTCGCTCCTTAACGAACGAATTCTACGAAGAGGTGAAACAAGAGGCACTCGGGTGAGAGGCCCCGGCCTCACGATCGCAGTGCAATATGGTAATTAATGCAAAATCGTGCCTCTTGTCACTGCGACCGCTACATTCTCCGGCGACACGCGATACGCTCTTTCCGATACGCATTTGCAAATGCTTGGATTGGGAGGCGAGAAGGGGGAGGGAAAGGAACGAAAAAAAAAAAAGAAAAGAGGAAGAAAGAAAGAGAAAAATGGTCGAGAGACAGAGATCGGAGAAGGAGAGGGCGACAGAGTCGAGAAAGTTCAGGATATTTTTATCCAAGGTATACACGTGGAGTGCAACACACAAACGCACGCATACACACATTCATACACACTCACACATACGTATCACGTATGTATATGCCCACATCGTCACTGTCACGACGTTGCGTGCGTTGGCGCGTGCAAAAAAAGGTGCGTGCAACTATATGCTCGTGCGAGCGAAAAGAACTCGCGGGAGTTTTAAGCCCGCGAGTTAATGCGACGAAGCGATGCGTGGCATTGATCGACACCAACCCGACACAGTGATGGTTATTACTGACGCTGCGGTTGAAACAGTCGATCCATTCGTAATAGCCGGCGTAGCCAATGTGTGGCTACATGGTAGTCGATACATGCAGGAAAACCACTTGAAATCTCCTCGATCGCGGTTACCACGGTTTAAAACTGCGAGAAATATCGAGCAAAGCTTTCGATGGTTACGGAATTACGTAACCTTGAGGGTTAAGCAGCTTTTGCCGACTTAAAGTCTAGAAGTTTGAGTGAAAATTTTATATACGAAGCGTCTTTTTTTTTTTCATTAATCTTTCCAGAGACAGATGTAAAAATTAATTTAAGAAAAATCCATTTTTTTTGTATGTAATGATGTTTAGATTGTTGAGACTTTATACATTGAGAAAAAATGCAATAAATTTTAATATTTGAATAGTGTCAGTGGAATATTTACTATGTAAATGTATATTTATTAAATTTAGTACAAGAATCATTAATTTAATTCTTCTTAATTCATTTTTTTTATTTAGTAAATATTTATTCTTCATAAATAAATGTTATATTAGTATTAGTCAAATAATTATTTATTAAAATGTAATATATTTTTCCATTTAATTGTAGGTATTTTTTAAGAATGGATTTGTAAATATATTTTCATATTTGACGACTTATAATTATTCATTAAATTGTCACTAATTTTTTTTAGAGAATAAAACTTATGTGGCAAATAAAATATTTGTTAAGTGAAACGTCAAGTCTATTATCAGATTATTTTTTCTGAAAGTTGTATTGTTCTGAAGGTTATGATAATCAATTTCTTTTCTATTATTTTCTGTTGTCCGAGGGTGACGGAATAACAAATATGTTTTAATAACTATAATCCAATCAGTTATCATAATTGATTTTGCAATGTTTACATTCAATTTAGTGCGGTATTATTAAATTAATGGAAGTTATTGTATTTGTTGTTATGTCACTTTCGATGGCAGAAATAGGGACGGAGATGTGAAAAAGACGCATCTCTTGCACGCGCGGGAATTTCTTTTCTTTTCGTTTTTTTTTTATCGTTCACGATGGTAATGCCACCAAATAACCCATCGGCACGAATTCGACCTGGACCAAATATTTTTCTCTGTCGAGGCAGCGGGTTTATTTGCGCTGATCCATCGAACGTCGTCGTAACTCGAAGAAGACTGGCGTATCCGGCCGCGGACTCGAGCGACAGCGATGACAGCCGTTTGTTGTTGCTGTCGCTTTCGTTCAAAAGTTCAAATTAGCAAAGTATAACTCCCTCCTCATACGTCATTCTGGGTGTTCCTGGTGTCGGCTATTTCCGGCACAAATGCCAACAATCGCGAGTGTTATAATTATTATATAAAAAATAATCGAATATATCAAAATTCACTATAGTGCGATTTACATATGTTGTGTACATATAATTATTGTATTTATATATATTATATTATAATGTTTATATGTGTATATATTGTTTATATATGTACATATTATATTAATACCATGTATAAATTTAACAGTTACATGTATTAAATTATAATATTATATAAGTATTAGGTGTTGGAATTAATTCGTAGCGTTTTACAAGTGATGGGAAGTACTTTCATTAATGTATTTTTTAATGCTCATGTGAAATAAATAACATTCTTTCATTAAAAAACGCTACGAATTAATTCCAACACCTAATATATAATTATATATAATTCATATTTTTTTAAAACTGTAGACAATGTTTCAAAGCCGGAATGTTGATTCTTTTAATTTATCGGTTTATTTTGTAGAAGTACTTACAAATTGTAATTTTGGTTAAAGTAATTCGATTTTATTTCGATTACGCTACGGGGATGTGAACCTAATTTTATATATAAAAAATGCGCCAAAACATCTCTTAATGCGCATAAGGAAAGTTTATCGACTTTGAAAAATAGCAGTAACGATAGTAACAATAGAAATGTCTATTGTACATCAACACGATCGTCAACCATTACGCGATGGGCAACCATTAATCCCACGTTACACTGCCATCAATTTCACTCACATTACCGCATTTTTTTTTTCAATTTCAATGATGTAAATTGGACATTTCATTATATCTTGTGCTGGACGGTTCGCGCAGTTTATTTATTGAATTTATATGTATGTATGTATATATATATATATATAAAATACACACACACACCCACACACACACCCACACACACACACACGCGCGCGCGCGCGCGCGAGCACGTGTGTGCGTGCGTGCATGTGTATGTGTACGTGTATAAAAAGGGTCCTCAGTGTATTGCATACAGAAATAAATATACGATGCGACAATAAAGTCACTTTAGCCCAATTTATATTTCTCCACTTTGCATTTATCGAATTTAGAATAGAGCTTTTTATTTCGCCAACTGAAAATGTTTACAATTTTGCGATGTGATAAAATAGAAAATAATGAATGGAAATTTATCAAAAAAATAACGTAAGTAATGAAAAAGTTAACGTTATAACTCATCCTGCTCGATATTAGAGTGGTACGGGCACAAACGTTATAGCAGATTATCAGCGATTATTTTACAATGAGAAATATGGATCAACAATTATCAACAATTTATCAGAACTGAATTTACACATACTTCGTCGATAATGATTAATTTCTATCTAAATAGGTATATCAATATAAATAAAGTGTTTAATTAAAGATTAATACAAAATTCTATTTTCTCAATTAGTTATCATCGAATTGAAAAGATCTTTTATTTGTGAAATTTTAAAATTTTCTACGTTAATGTTCGAAAATTATTTATTTTTGTCAGTTCTGAAGTTATACCAGTGATACTTGTCGGTAGTGAGATGTGATATATATAAAAAAATCGAATTATTATTAGAATGGATAACGTAGATCTGTGAATTAAAAAATGAAAATTATTTAAGAATACTGAAGTGAATCTAACAATTTTCCAATTTTGTTATCAAATTTTGAAGAAAATGAAATAAAATAAATAAGTTAAAAATGATAATTGTGACCATATTTATAAATCTATTATTTTGTATATAAAGTAAAATAAATAAAGGAAGTAAATTTTATGGAAGTAAAATGGAAGTAAAATAAAATAAATAAATTTAGTAAAGTTTAAAATTATATACGTTGTGTTTTTCGTTCATGACATCTAAAAGTATATATACTTCTCTTTTAAAATGATTTTTCTCGTTCGTTAAAACGTCAAAATTAGAGAATTCTCGTATATATAGGATAGTAATTAGAAATCAAGAAAAATGTTGCAAGATTTAATTGATAAAAATTTTGAATTAATGGTATAAAAAATTTCTGAACAAAATAAATAGTTAACATAGTCTACTTCTATTAATGTTGTGCTACCAAATTAAAAAAAGTATACAATTTATTAATATATTTTTACTTGTGGATTTTTCAGGATATGAGTTATAAATTTCTTGGTATTTATAGTCGTCTATTTATAACCATTGAAACAACTATCAAGTTCGAACATTAGTTGAAGATCATTTAGTTACTTTAAAAAATGATAGATAATAGCCCGTATTCAGAACACGCTTTTATCGATAAATATACGTTTTTATTTTTGAAATTCTATAGTATACATAATGTGAGCTGTACGCTAAATATGTGCTAACATTGTTATAAGTGCGTTCTGAATACGGACGTAAATACATATATGTATATAAAAATATATAATAAATAGAAAATAATTATACATATATAATCCAAATTCTAATTATCAGATCATTTTGTTCCACTTTCTCTAGAATTTGACATGATAATAAAATCCGAGGTAAAATCTGAAACCCGACTCAAATTCAGTTCATCAAAGTATTTGATAGAAAAACTAGTGCATATTCTTAAATACAAAATTCACGTAAAATTGTGTAATGTATTCGCGTAAAAAGTTTTTATTGGAAAAACAATTTAACTATCTTATATAAGTTGATAGAATTTGATTTACTGGCTGTACTGTTGGCTGTACTGTTACAAGATAAGGGCGCTCTCTCTGAAAATATATGACTATATAAAACACGTGTTATTTTTACAAACTCTCGCATTAGATCAATATTCTGTGGAGTTTAAAAATCTCACCACTTAATTAATATTAATTGCAATATTTTTCCATTGTCTACCTCTGTTTTGACAAAAAATTTTCTTGATCCTTTGAGTATTTCTCTTTCATCATGCTCTCATTACATTTTTTAAAAATCATCTAGAAAATTTAAGCTCTATTCGTTTAAATTTCTCTTCAGGGATCAACGTTTTTACGAATTTCACGTATTCATTTGTCACGATGACGCATTATATCTTTTTTTCGTATATGTTGCAGGTTGTTCGGCACAAAATGCGACAAATGTAGCCGCTGTTTTAGCAAAAATGACTATGTGATGAGAGCGAAAACTAAGATCTATCACGTGGAGTGCTTTCGTTGTTGCGCCTGCTCGAGGCGGCTCGAAACTGGCGATGAGTTCGCTCTGAGGCAGGACGGCCTCTTCTGTCGACTCGATCACGATGTTCTCGAAGGCGGAAAGCACTGCACCGGAGGTGTTGGTATACCCGGAAGCGAGAATAACAATAACGCCTCCCTGACGAACAACAATCATCATCTACACCCAAACGACGGCTCGATGTCAGGTAAAAGCATGGTCATTCGTCAAAGACTGGATTGTTTTTTTCTTTCTTTCCTTCGCGCACGTGCGATACATTTCGGATTGACAAATTATTCATGAAATCATTCCCCAAGATTTTTCAAAGAAGTGAAAAGATCTAACAGTAGATACCACGACGTTCTGAATTTAGATATCGAGTTATCGTAAAGTCTATTTTCGTATCGACGTTATTTCCGTACTCCCGTCAGTTCCTTAATTGAACATCGTTATCGAGATATTCTACGATTAAATTATCTCACGTTCGTGTGAAATGGGAAATCCGGCTTCTGATGTACGTCATGACAGGACATGGGATATATCTGTGGATTATCAGGCACAGTCTATCCATGTTCCCAAAGACCAAATTTACAAAAGGGTGCCTGCTCGAGGGTAAGCTCAAAGGACTCTCCTATGTTGTGTTAGGCTCACGACGTATAATTAGGTGTTGATAATTGAAGCCGTTAAGACCGTAAAGGCTTGACCACTACCCTCCTACACGTCAGGATTACGTAGGCTTAATGTCCTGTAACCTAGCATAACGTATACATTCAGCCTACTGGCTGGATTGCTACCAAGCGAATTAACTCAACCAAGCGGGAATCGGAATTCAGACACCAAATCTAATCGTATGTAAGACAGCATGGGATTGCATCGGCAATTAGAGAGAAAAGGACAATCTGGCAAGTAATCACTAAAGCCTACGGCACACGATGAGTGTTTTCCTACTGAATTGTTTGCTTACATTTTGATAAATTAGTAGAAAGTCTGCGTTCTGTGTAATATAATTCTAGTAATTTACTAAAACGCAAGCAATTCAATAGGAAAACAAGTATCCTGCCGTAGACTTAAGAGTTAATACCAGACGATCAGTGTTAATTTTCTTGACTCTTTCGAGTTGAAAGGCAGTCGCAATTACAACTCGCTAATTTGCCAAATCGGTTAGTGTGTCAATGACAAACGATTAAATAAACGTCGGTGAAATGCTACTATGAATTACACTTTAAAATGATGTAAGCGTCAAGATACCGAATGAAAATATCCCAATGGGATAATGAAAAATGAGATTTAAATTACATTTTGTCAAACAGCACGTTCGATTTCTTTTTTTTCACTGATTAAGAATCAGAAAAGAAGGTGAACTTTTTAAAATTATAAAACAGAAACATGTAATTTTATAAATTTGCATATGAACATTATTAAGTATCAAGATTCGCTTCGATCAAGAATAGGATTTTTTCTCTCTTATTTAATTTATTCTTGTTGGTCTTTTCATTTGCAATTGAACTTTTTAATGTGACATAATAAGCGAGAAAGAAACGTATACGACACGATCGGCTACCGTTTCTCCCCGATATACTAATTTTCGTGCAAATAACTCGTGTGCGGCAACGCGACGTGCGCACGTCGTCCCGTGTTTGTCATTGTGATTCGTCATTGGAGATCGTCGCGCGTAAACGTCGTTCCCCACGCACGAAAAAGTTGGACCATCTTATGCCGACGGTAGTGGCATAAGGTGGTCCCGATGTATCTTCAGAATGCTGCCGAGGTGCCAAATGTAACACCACCCTGCCAACTACTGTCACGCATAACTACGCACGATCTGTTTTCTCTTATTCCTATCTTCTTTATTAGCGTGCCGGGGATATCCCGCAGGATGGGACACCTGAGTGTAATACATGAACGTGTCGCCAAGTTATTAATAGTCCTCGAATTATTGATAAACTCTAATAAACTGTTCGTTCTTAATCTGCGAGAAATTACGATCGTCTCAGGTATCGTCTGTGCGCTTCGTGCAAAAATGCTTTTGTGCTATAATATTAGAATAAAATAAATCTTCCTTTCGTATTTATTATTCGTATCTAAAAGCTTTGATTATTCTTTATCTAAGAGCTCTGATCACTCTTAAAAATTTATCTTGGTACCTATACTGCTAGAAATCAAAGCAATGGTAATCCAATCCCTTCAGTTAAATAATATTTTGTTATTTTTTTTATTTCCTGTGTGTCGAAATGTACATCAATTCATTTCTGTGGTTAGTTCCAAAGTAAACATTGTCCATATCAATGTATGCATTTAGTAAATAATACATTTGAGTGTCAAATTTAATACATTTTCTTGAATTAATTGGGTAGGAGTGGTAACCTATACAAATAATTAAATATAATTGAATGTAATTTGACACTATAAATTTAATAGTGTAATCTCTGATCTTAAATTTTTTCTTTTTTTTAGTAGATTCTGTGAATTTATGCCCCGCATATTTATTGTATGATCGCTCGCTGCTCTCTAGGCGTTAAAAGGATCAAATTTATTAGGATACGGATTATTCTTACGTGTAAAGGAACAAATTTTCGGCATGATTGTTTGAACACGTACACTACGAACTAGTCAACATTAATCAATTTTCAAAAAATTAATGAAAATTGAATCAGTTGAAAATTCACCTTTTAAAAGTATTTAGGGTATTTGTTTAGTTTAACGTTCACAAATCAGTTAATAAAAAGTTAATTTCACAAAAGTTAATAAAAAATATATCGATGCGTTTTTTTCATAAAACGAACGTATCTGGCAAAAAAAGTGTCACTCTATTTCACTGAGATATTAATCTTGAAATTTGATAATTGCTCAAATTAGAAAATCCATTATATCGACGAAATAGAGTTTCGTAATTAAAAATTTATACATATTCTCTGCTTTAATTAATTAAAAACGCAATTTTCTTATATAATTTTAATTATAGTAGAGGATATGATTTATGATTCAAAATTTATACATATTCTCTGATTTAATTAACTGAAACTACCAATTTTCTTATACATTAAATCATAGCTGAGATCAGTTTATGATTTGAAATTTATTCCTTTTTCATTCTTATCTAATCCTAGTGCATGAGCAGTTCGCTAATTATATCGATATGACAAGTTTGTAATCTCATTAGTAGTAAATAACTACGATTAATATCTTCGCAAAACAGAGTAATACTTTTTTCAGACAAATTCCTTGATTTCATAAAAAAAATAAAAAAAAACACGCGTCAGTGTTGTATATTCTTATTTTAATTTTTATGATTGTGTATTCAAAATTGAATAATTACCGAATTTGCTTTTTGCTATTGCTAGATGTTATATACTTTTTACTTTTGCTAGATGTTATATACTCGCGAGATAATTTCTCCCTAATCAAATTAAATACCTCTTCGCGCATACCTTTCACTCTTTCTGCGGAAGGTATACTTTCCAATCTATACATCATATGATAGCTGTATATACAATCATATACGATAGTTTTTCGAAGGTCGAGGGTCTATTCACTCTTCTTATCGTCGTGCCGCCGTGTCAACGCTGGTTTCATTCTCGCTTATGCCAACCAAGACCGCTATTTGGTTAGGACACAGAAATAGGATTTCGTTTGTTCTCTTGTAGTATACTCTCGTTGACTTTCCATCTTCCCGCATAGCGAACCTACTAGATCTCGAACGACACGATGCCTAAAGAGATCGTCGGCATTATCTAGAATACATTGGTAAAACGATTGGTCAAAATTTTTATTGTTGGTAATTTAACTTCCTGCAAGTGATGTGAAGTGATTTTAAGTGGCTTCTGTTGATTTCATTTTCTCCTCATTACATCATGAGGATTTCTTTAACACTCTATATTGTTTAGATCATCATTTAACGGCAAAATATACCTGCTTTTTCCAAATGCTTTTCCATTGCTTATAATTGCTTTTTTCATTGCTTATAATTTTTTTTAAAATAAATTAAGATACATATAAATTTGCTTGATACTGTTATATTCCTTAATGTCTGGTGTTTTAATTGAAAATAAATTTTTTTACAATATATTTATTTTTATGAAAATTATAAGCAATCGAATTGAGTTGGTCATACATTAGTGTCTTGTTCCCGCAATGAGATGTTTAATAATTAAAGCTTTGCTTTTTTTTATTAGTTAAAATCTAATAAAATAATTTAAATTTTTGCTATTATTTTCTTGGTATACTATTTCATAACAGTCATCTCAGTCGCGAAACTGTGTTGATAAAGACTTATATTTTGCCATCTTTTTTTCTTTTAAATAAATCTCAAGTGTATCTCAAGTATCCTCCAGGAAAGACAACTATGAGACTGATGGACAGATCAAACAACGCACTATTTTTTGACAAAAAACGGAAAGCCTCTACCATCTTTTGCAAATAAAACTTTGTGTGACCGTGGCTCGCGAGTCATGAATGTATCACGCTTAAATGTTCCACGATGCCAAGGTCGGTTGATCAAGGAATCACATGAGTACGAGATCCGCGTTTGCCCATCGACAATATTGTCTCTTAACTGTTGTGTCGAGTGCTGGGTTCGCAGACGATCGTCGCGTCGGTACCTTTTGCTTCGCTCCCCGTTGATCCGCCATGCTGAACCCAGTATCTGGATCTCCCATTAGCCGGACTCGACCGTTTTGTAAGACCGGTTAGAAAGATAGTCCGGAACCGTATCGTGCGTTCCCTTCTTCCGTACCTCGTGCTCGGGATGCTTCGTTTCGCGAACGCGATGCTCTCGCGGATAAATCTTCCCGAGAGGCGGGTAGACCAGCAATCGCACACTCGCCCTTTGTAACTGTCGAAAAAAACGTTAACGAAGAATCCGGAAGACTCGAAAGATTTACAATCGCCACGTGAATTCGCGTTTATCTTTCTTTCTGCGATTTCACAGTTCGAACAATTCGCGCTTACGTCAATTTATTGCTACCATAGCAGCATCTCTTTCTTAAGTCTGCGTATTAGATTAACTAATTAGCTTTGCAAAAAACATTCCTTGATACATCTACTTTTTCCCGCAAACTTTATTAACACCTACTTACGCAAACGCCACAGTGATTCAAGCCCAATCAATACTTTAGATATACACGGAAAGAACAATTGCTCTGCAAATAAATTTAATTTATAGATGTAAATCTGAAAATAATGTTGAAATATATTCAATATAAAATATTTGTTGAAATATATTCAAAGATTACATAAATGTATCATTCTTCTGATAAGATTATTAATTATTATCGTATTAAGAATTAATTAAGATGAAAATAATTATGTAGAACGATAAAATCTACATAGCTGAAATATTCCGAATATATCATATGAATATTTTATACATGCTACGCTATTTTCAGATTGTCCCTATGATATAATTTGGACACTTTTGCTATATGAGAATATAACGAACATTGTACTGCTGCAAAAAAATTTTGATATTCTAGCAACCAGCTTGAATATATCATACATAGCTATTTTGATATTCCAACAAAATTATTTTCGGATCTGTATCCAGTTTTTTTTAGATACTTCAAGAAAACCGTCCTTTTTATGTATATATCTTTTTTTATACTATTTGTACGTTACGTTGTAGCTTAATTCTCTTCAAGAATAAATCATATCTTGCACTTTAAAATGCACTTTTCGAAGTCCCATACAGCACAGACGTCCTAAAGACGTCCAGAGAACGTTCTTATATATCTTCTGAACGTCTTTAGGGAGGGACGTTCTTAAGGAACGTTTCCAGGATGTGTCTCGAAGTGTGCTGTGTGGGAATGTCCCGTAATTTGTATTGCTTATAATTGATATTTTATATTTGGAAAACGTATTCGTTTAGCTCGGCTCGACGACGACCACGAGGGAGGACTCTCGACGTTTATGCTTGCAGATTCCGGATCTGAGAGCGGATCGCATAAGGCGGGAGTCGGTGGCGTTCGCGGTTCCGGTGGCCACAAAAGTGGCGGCGGTTCCGACGGAAAGCCAACGAGGGTACGCACAGTTCTCAACGAGAAGCAGTTGCATACCCTGAGAACCTGTTACGCGGCAAACCCTCGACCGGATGCCCTGATGAAGGAACAGCTTGTCGAAATGACGGGGCTGAGTCCACGCGTGATCAGGGTGTGGTTCCAGAATAAGAGATGCAAAGACAAGAAGAAGACGATCGCCATGAAGCAGCAAATGCAAGAGAAGGTAACGAGCTATGATATCGCCTATATCAATTACAGTCCATATTAGACTGTATTGATCATTAAAAATGAAATAGAGATTTAAAATTGAAATGATTGAAACAAAATGAATGAAGATTAAAATTATTTGATTGGTCAAATTCTGATCTTCAGTTTACGATTGCCAATTTTCAATGTATAGATACAAACTTAACGGGACGTTATATCCTTTTGATGATGAATACATTGCCAAAAACTAACTGAATTCAATTAACTAAATGAATAATGAATGAACGTACACGCTGTTGAATGTACTAACTTATGCTTGAGGACAGAGTTCAGAAATTTATTTTTATAAAAAAAAAGCGTAGCTGTGTATCAACGTCTGCCATTGTTGCTGACAGTAATTGTGGCAACTCGTGCTTATTCAATGATCTCACTCAGAAAAGATAAAATAATTTTTACAATTATAATGTCATAACTCTGAAATTTAAGTATTTCTGTAACTGATTTAAAATTGTGAAAACGATAGTTGAAAATTACGAAAATATAATCATAAAAACAAATGTAAATCGAATAAATAAACACACAGAGTGATTCATTTTAAATGCATACTTTGAATATTTGGAAAGAATTTAAAAAAAAAAAATATTTTAGATAAAAGTTCTTTTAAAATTTTGAAAAAAGTTATGCCACCCATTTTACCATAAATATGATGTCGATTTCATTTTAAGATATTTTAGAATTTTTAAGTAAAAATCTCCATTTTTTATTGTTTTAATTGATGTTACGATGTTTTTAAAATGTTGGTTTTCAAATCTTATTTAAGTAAAAACTTCCCGAGAGAGAGAGATTAAGAATTATCAAAGTTTAAAGATGTACATATACATATATATGTACCACTTTAAATGTCTAAATTATCAAGAGAAACATAGTATCTGAAAAAATATTTTAGATAAAACTTGTTTGGTTTTAAGAGTGAAAACACTAATGTTATGAGTGTAACTTTGAAAAATAATGTCAAAATTATTTCAATTTTTAAAATAAAAACGTATATCTTTCTCATTATACATATATTTTCATAGTTGATGTCAAGTCTACTTTGAAAAACTCATTATTTCCTTACGCAGTTTATGTACCCTTATTTCGTAGTATCGATCGCAGAACTTTTATATGAAGAAAATGTTGTTACAATTTAACAACTCTAGACGTTATAATTATTGGATTAAAAGAAAAGTAGAGAAAAAAATGAAATAAAAACATTTTCTTGATATAAAGTACTCGAACATATATGAATATTAATACTCTTTTTAACAATGGAAAAAGCTTCTAAATCTGATCAAAATGATAATAGAAAAGGAAATACAAAAAACATCCAGTTGATAAAATAAACTTTAAAATCCCCTTAATAAGTTTTTTAAAAAGTTTGACATTTTTCTATAATGTATCTTTTAAGATAATTTAGATAGGCGTTTTAAATATTGGATACACCCTTAAACTTTGGCATCCTTTAAATGAAAAAGTTTTCACTCAAATGGAATTTAAAAGTAACATTTTGAAAATATCTCGAGGTCAGTAAGAAATATGCGATAAAAATGATAGTTTTCACTAAAAAAATTTCAAAGTAACATGATCGTATCAACATCCAAGAATAAATAGATGGTATAATTTTTTTATCCTTCAAAATCAAACAGCTTTTGTTTGAAATACATCTTTTAATATTTTTCTTTCCAGATATTTGAAGTAGACATTTGGAATAAATCATCATGTATAACATGATATTTCGATGAATGATCTAATGGAACCAAGCGCTTTTTATTTCAGGACGGGCGTAAATTGGGCTTCGGCGGCATGCATGGCATACCCATGGTTGCCAGCAGCCCCGTGAGACACGAGAGTCCTATCGGCATGACGCCTCTGGAAGTTCAAGCTTATCAGCCACCGTGGAAAGCGCTTTCGGAGTTTGCGCTTCATACAGACTTGGAACGACTGGATCCTAATGCACCATCGTTCCACCATTTGGTGTCTCAGGTAACCATATTCAAAACATTTAATTTCTTGTTTCTGAAATATCATCGAAAGAGTAACCTCGAACAGCGACTTTCGCCCTGGCGAAAATAAAAACCGAGCCAATAAATCGAATGACAGAAGCATAAACGAATCATCTAGGATGCAAACGAAAATTGAGACAACGAAAGAGACATTTATTCTTTTTTTATGTTTCGTTGTCTCAATTTTCGTTTTTTAGTTATTCTTCGTTCACTCTCCCTTTATATTCGATTTTTGCTTCAATCTTTATGTTCGCCAGGACATGAGCAAGATTTTTTGAAAAAAAAAATCTTCTTAGAAATGTAACTAGACACGAATGAAAGAGAATGATTTACAATGGTTGCCAAAAGGCTCTAGCCTAAATAATTTTACATATTTTTTTATATCAATGTTTTTCAGTTTTATATATTATAAATTAATATAAAATTCTTATTTTAAGACCATGATAATTTAATACTAAAACATATTCCAATATTTACATACTAGATTATTTTATTTGTAAAGATTTTTTTATCTGAGCAATACAGTAAAATTATTTAGTTGGCTGGAAACTTTTGGCAGCCATAGTACATTCATAGAAGAATGCTAGGAGTTGTCTTTACTCAGAAAGTCGAGTGTTGTTATTGCAATAATTGCAGATGCACGGCTATGACTTGCATGGGGGACCACCGCCGCAATTGGCACCCCCGCCAGGGATGCTTGGCGGGCCGATGAGCGACGGTGGAGGCGGACCGTTACCGCCACCGGGGCCTCATCATCCAGGTGGTGGCGGGCCCGACATGGGCCAGCATCCCGACAGCACTGATAGCTACGTGACCTACGTTGAGAGTGACAGTGACTCGTTTCACCACGATACGGGAAGTCCATAGTGTCGTGCAAGGCATGAACGTAAAATTACCACGCCCCCGTTGTCCTTCGCTTTCGTAACGACTCTCGTCGTGGTGCTCGTCATAACGGTGAGATGCCTGCAACGGCGAATATGGAGCGGTTACGGAACCAGGGAACATCGTGATACATATGGATATAGGAGGAACAATTCAGATACCAAAGGATGCATCGATCTTTCGACGATAATTAAATAGACTTGTACCGCACTATTACCAAAAGTGGCTCGGAAATGACAAGTGAAACACTGAAAATGAACGGCGAAGGAAAGAAGGGGCAATGTCGCTGTCTTGGACGTACATGAATAATGTATTTTCATTTTAGTTATGAAATAATTTCTTTGAAATGACACAAAGGACGTTTGCAAAAATAACCGTCTAATCATTGAGCGTACAAAACTTTCAAAAACCTTGAACATCCTGTATATTATTAGCTTATTGATATAAAATCGAATTCTGGCCAGACCGAGCATTATATTATTTTGATTCCCGCCATTTTGATTTTTAATAAACATGACATTTCCGTGTGTCTCTATCGTTTTGCATTACATTACATTATTAACGTAACAATGAAAATTCGCTACCTGTGTAAAATTATAATATCAATTTCGCTGGAGATTTGTAAACGGCTTGTACGTGTGTCGTTAACTGCCTGTATATACCAGAAGGAGATGCGATTCGGTATCTAGTACTGGAAATACATTGTACATAATTGCTACTCGCTGTAAATCTAAGCAATGTTAAATCATAATGTACTCAGGCGCAAGTTGTAGCGTAGAATACGAATAATGGAATATATATACAGATACATATAGGCACACTGAATTTACATTGATAATTGTATTATTCCAGTTATGTTAAGTTTCGTAACGGCAGAAGATATACATACTCGTGAAAGGATACAATTTTATTTAATCATCTTCGACGGGAAAGTTTCCGTTATCGTTGTTAATATTCTGCGTTATCTCTCAAGTTTGTATGGAAGGCGATTTTGTATTTGTACGACACACGATTTGACTTGTTAAGAGATGGCTTACGCTTAGTTACCGAAGAAGCACAAGGGAGCGGTACTCCTTCGTTTTTATAATTGGATATAAAGAAGTTATAATTTAATGGATCGTGCAATCGATACCATTTAGTAAGGAGCGAGCCAAAAGAAAATTAAGAAAAGTTAATAAGAATTAATTACATATAATATATAATATATTATACTATATATATATATATACTATATATTATATATAATATACATATAATAAAAGTTAACTGAATTTCTAAAATTATATATTATATGTACTAGGCGAAAGATTAAAGAAAGTCTGATATATATAAATATAATATATGCAGAAATTTATATAATTTCTATATTTTATATATTTAATTTTTTCTAATCTTTGAAAAAAAGCAATTAGCCTCAAAATCGTTAAATTTGTGTTTCTACTTTTAAGCAGGAGTACTTCTCGAAGCGTAATCGAAAATCATATTTAAAAAAAATTAATTTCGAAGTTTAAATCTTGAATCTTATAAGTAAAATTTAAATTCGTTTTACAGATTTTTACGTCAGATCGATTTCGTATTTTTGTGCCGTTAATTTTGAATAATATCTTTAATGATTTAGTTCACAAATACACCTAATCTGTTCAACTCATCCACGAAATAATTATAAAGGATTATTTCATCGGATAATTTTGAAGAATATTTCTGTTTCAATTTCTCGTGATACTGAATGTAGCATGCATTTTTCAAGACTTTGCGCTCCATTTGAACTAAAAAAAAAAGACTCAAATACAGCCTAATGCGTGTTACTTTCACAAACTGCTTTCTAGTCTCGCAGAATCGTTAGCTAACATTTTCGGAATAAACGGAATTTTATTGCGAGTACTTTTCGATACTAAAATCTGCTTGGGCGAGACGGAAGGCGTAATGAACTGTGTATAATTGTGTATAATTGATTATTAATTAACTTCATTTAACGGGAGCAGCGATGAAAATTCACCATACAGCATGCGTCAAGCCTTTTCGAATAGAGAACCGTTGTACACCGCTCTCTTGTACGTAACATCATTAAAAAAGAAAAAAAAAGAAAGAGAGAGACATAGATCATGTAAATTTAATATTTCGTAATTCGTTCAAGCATCTTCGAATTTGTATAATATTTCTATACTGGCACAATGTATGTAATAAACTGTCGAACAAAAGCTTTTTGATGAGATTCCTTTATTTTGAGTACTTAATTGTTTGTAAAATGTATATTTCGAAAATTTTTCATTTAGAAATTTTTGTAGACGGTCATTAATTATATTTAAAAATCTAGACAAAGTACAAACTTGTAGAATACGTTTTTGCGAAACTACAATTTAGTAGATTTCTAATGACAAAAAATAATTACAATCACAATGTAATTATTGGAATTATTGTAATTACATGGTAATTACAATTACAATCGTTAAATAATTCTAATCTTGATCTTAATCCCATTTCAATTATTTAATATTAATTACAAAGAGAAATAAAATTTCATAGAAAGGGCATAGTGGAAAAATAATTATTAAAATTTAAAAATGTTCATCGTTCGAATTATCGAAAGAAAGAACTATTTATGCCTGACAAATAAGAACTTATTTATAGGCTTATGTTAATTAATGCCTGATTTATACTTCGATCTTAATCCTAAAATCCTAAAATTCACCCAATGGAATACAGATGTCAGGACCAATTATAACTAGAGACCCTTTAATCAGAGACTGGCCAATTCAAATTTCTTCGAACGAGAAAGGAATATAGACTATCTCACTCCTACACCAATAAAAATATGTATATATCATGCATACACACCGCTATTGGTGGAGAAGTGAGATGGCCTATACTCCTTTCTCGCTCGAAGAAATTTGACAAAATCCTTAGGGTCAATCTCTGATTAAAGGATCTCTAATGATTAGAGTCCCTCTAGTAAGGAGTTAAAGGGTATCGATTTCTGATATTCGAATTCCTTTAAACACTGCCATTTGCAGATACTTTCGATGCGATAGTGAATTCGTGTGAGCTACTATTTCATGGTATAAAAGGCGCGAACGCGAAAATGGACTATCAACTGTCAACCATGATGGAATTGTGCTGTTTCCGGTCACCCATCCTTCCGGTCTTATGTCTTAATTCTTAAGGTGCATTCCGTTTCACACATGATGCGCATGATGCATCATTTATCCTTGTTGTTCATCGAATGTTAAACAAGGATAAATCATGCATTATGCATATCATGCGTGAAACGGAATGCATCTCTAACTCCTACTAGAGGAATTCTAATTATGATTGGCAGCCTTATTGGGCTGAATTTTAGGATTTTAGACCGAAGCATAAATCAAGCATAAATATTTTTCATAAATAATAATAAATATCACGTACTTGATGACGATCCATGCACCTGTTGCGTTTCTCGCTCCACTCCAAACCTGCAGATGAGGAATGCTGATACCAGGATCTTCCAAATCGATCTGCGGAACTTAGAACGGCAAAAAATTGTCTGTCGTCGATTAAATTGTCTTTGCGTTAATGCAACATAACGCGACGTTACGAGATTACGATGGCGCGGAATCATTCCGAAATTCACTACCGATCGCGGCAACGAGTATATGATAGTAAAGTATGTACTAACAAACACATTTAAGAAAGAAAAAAGTCCTTGACAATCTCCCATGCACGAGATACGCTTCTGGAATATTCTAAATAATATAAAATCGCAGGGAACAGAACAACTCTAGCACGGAATTTGCAGTTCGTGGCGCGTTCTACGAGCGATAGCAAAATCTATTGAAATCACGAGAATCGCAATCTCGAGACCATCGATAATCGCGACCGTGGCGCCGCGCATTATTTCGGTGAAAAAGAATATAGTTCAGTTGGCTTCAGACACTTCGGAATTGGCTTCCGCTCGAGAAGTTTCTGCTTCGGAAAGTATGGGTTGGTTTTTGACTGTTTCAAATATTTGTTTCTCTTGGTTGTTATAATAATAGAGATAATCGTGTAAATATGGAAACCGATAAAAATACCATGCTCGCAGTTTTGCAGCTTTTGAAGAAGTACAATTTTAAGGTAAGTTAGAAAATGTTCTTTCGTCTCCAAATCCTAACCTGCATTCGGTGTTATTGAAAAATTTAATAAATAGATCTTTTTACTCACATGCATAATTAGAAACAAATAACTACGTATTTTTATTATTTTGTGTTTTTAGGGAACTGAAGAATTATTTAGAAAAGAAGCTAATCTTACTGATATTTCGATTGATGACTCTCAACAATCTGATTCTGATGTGACCAGTGTCCTTTCTGCTTATAAAAGCGAAGGTGATCCTGCACAATATGAGAAAGCATACAGCGAATTGAAAAAGTTTGTGGAAGGAGCTTTGGATATTTATAAGGTAAGTCGAAGTTATCACTAATATATATATGCGCAAGTATTTTATGTCAAATGTTACAACATAAATACATAGATTATATCACATCTATTCAAATCTTGGCTTATTTATAAGCTACATGTTTCTTTCTTTCTATCATCTCGTTGTATGAGAAAATAAAGAATAGATCCTAAAGTAGCTAGTTATAGAGTTTTAGTGTCTATTCTTTCTGTCAGTGTATGATCAATTTAAACTTCTGTTTCTTTTTTATTTTTATTTTCTGTTACTCAATGAGATAATGAAAAAAAGGGAGGGAGTATTTACGTATTTATGAACTACATTTTGAATAAGTCTGCTCATATATTATTTCATATAATAATTTATTATATAAAGTAATGATTTATATTTATTAAATCTCCTATTGCCTGGGCAATGTGTATACCTTTCATTAGTAATCTGTGTCTTAGAACTATTGTTAGTGCAATTTTTTATATCGTTCCAGAATGTATAAAAATTTCAATAAATTCTTGTGTATTTGTGAAAGCTTTAACAAGCTTTGTGACAGCTTTTTTCTTATTATAGAAATCGAATGTTTTACTTATTTTTTATAGATTTAAAATTATCAGAATTCACAATAAAAAAATCGATTATTTTTTTTGGAAATCTTATATTAATGATAGAAGATTAGTATAAGATATATAATAATAGCATTATAATATGAACTTGTAAGATTATATTATATTCTATACAAGATTATATATAATAATAGCATGAATTGGGAACCATATTATATCCAGTTTTGGTGCACATGTATTTGGAATTGGTTTATAATAATCATTCTCAAGAAGCAAAACAACTCATGGAAAAGTTCAGTGGAAATTTACAAGAATATTATCAGGATGACTTGAAAAGATTATCCAATGTAACAAAACGGGAACAAATGGCAGGGAATGAATTAACCGACACTTTTAAGTAAGCATACAAGCGAGCAATATATGATGAATGTTATTCAGATCTAAGTATAATTTAAACCTAAGTATCATTTGATATCTATACTTGCAGATCTAATCAGTTT